CCCCAAAACCCCAAAACCCCAAAACCCCTAATGTCAATTAATTGCTGAATATTAATGTTTGTAAGGTTCACTATCCGACTCAGAGTATGCTTCAACATTAGATTCTGCAGGTTTTACTTTTTCTCCAAACAGAGCGAATATCTTTTCAAGCACCTATCATATAAACTATCAGGCTTACCTTTTCAATTTTAGTTACGAGTCTGTTCTTTGGGTCAAGAGGCTCTAGAGTATTGGCAATTCTTCCAATAAACTCCAAAAATTCTACAAATTCTAACTTATCATAATTATCCTTATCTCCACCCATCTCATCAACTACTGTCATCTTACAATAGCAATATGACAAAACCACTATATTCTTTGGCTTGAAGGATTCCTTATCTTCTTTTTGACCCTTTCCTTTCTCTGCAGACTTGAGCTTCTCATTAAATTTGCTCTCGTCAGTTTTAGCCTTCTCGGCAGTATTGGCTACTTCTGGCATAGCTCTTACCATAAGGTCTTCCACATCATCTAGGTCCATCCACTTCTTTACTTGGTTATGGTATGATTTATAGACCTTCTTCAGTGCTGGGAGGTTCGCCTTTAAGAGATCGTCAACTCTGAAAGTCCATAGCTTCTCTTCCCTCCACTTTTGCCATGACCAATAATGCTCTCACTGGGCGTAAATATCCTCAAGGAACTTATCAATCGCACTTGCAAGTGAGTTGCAGATCTTAGTGTTAAAATATTTCTCTCTGGCTAGCCTCGCGATGATCTCATAGAATTCATATCTACACAAATCCCTGTCTGGGTTATCTTCTTGTTCAACCTCTTCGAAGTTGGTAACGATGAAAACCCTATCTATAGTAGAGAAGTTCAGGTTTTTATCTACGATTTTCCATGCTTTGCACATATCTCAGAAATCCAGCCAGGAGATACTTGGAAATGAAGAGTTCCCAATTCCGTATGTGAACAAGTCCTTAATCTTGCTTGTATGTCTGTATAGAAGATCAGTCACTTCTTCATAGATCTCTTTTGGGCCAGTGAATTTGGAAATCTTAGAATGGGCCATATCCAGTTCAAAGGCACGCAAGAGACGATCATGGGTATCCTCTTTCCAAGCCTTGAATACACTATTTCTTTTGATAAATTTGTGCAGAATCATTCTTTTCTTCACACACTTCTCTTTTACTTTATATTCACCATCCCTGAAGGGTACTACGAAGTCAAGGTGGTAGAAATCATCCATTGATGCACTATTTGGCTGTAGGTTAACTCAGAACTCATGCCTGGCAGGAGGGAGATAATCTGAAGTTGTTATTATGCACTTACCTGAGAAAACATAGAATCCAGCTCCAGTTAACAGGTTATCTGTGGTTGAAAAATATAGCTTACTAGATTCTATGAGCTTTTCTTTCTCAAAATGATCACTTTTCATCGACTCTTTGGCTACAAGGTTAAACAATGGATTACAGAGAGAGTAACTGTGATAATGAAGTTTTGATATATCCTTGAGGTTGAAAACTTGGATTGCTTTCTCTTTTACCAAATATTTCCTAACGATCTCCATCCATTTTTCAAATGAAAATTTCTCTTCGTCGTCATCGTCAGAGTTTTCTTCAAGCTGAGCTTCAGCCTTTACATCCTCTACCTTTTCAATATTTTTGGAAGACTCGATTTTTAGGTCTTTATTAAAGTCTGAACCGCTATTTTCCGTAACTTTCTTCTCTATCTTTTGAGCTTTCTTGATTTCTTCAAGTATTTTCTGCTCTTCCTCCTCTTTGGCTTTCTTCTCAGCAATTATAGCATCTCTGATCTTGTAAACCATTGGTTTTTCTACTTTCTTAAGACAGAATTTCTTTCTCATAATAAGCTGGATATCACGAGTAAATGCTCTAGCAAGTTTATTATACATTGACCCATCTGCTTCGACGTAGAATCTAGTTGATGGTAAACCATTTCTAGAGATGTACTCACAGTAATCAAAAATAGGCATCATTTTCCTTGGTTCCCAAGACGAAAATTTGCCAGAAATCTCAGGTGTATTCCCAACAACAGCCATTTCTTCTCTTTTCCTTGAATTTTCAATTGTTTGTCTATATTCATACTGGTCAAATCTTTTGCTCATGAACTTGTTAGCGATCCTAAAAGGAATTAGACCTCACTGCTCACATTTTGTTCACAATAATGACACTATAATTCCATTTCTCTCAAACCCAGCATCGGTTGGTCATTGCCCACTTGTGGCTGCCTTGGATCTCTATGTGTCCTAAAATACGCTTGAAGACGACTCTGTCGTCAATGGTGCCTTTGACACCATCATTTTCTTTAGTCGCACTGGTTCTCTGGAGTCTCTTCTGCCTCTGAATGCTAGCCTTGATTTTGTAGTTATCAGAAGAAGACTTCTTGATCATAGTTAAGAATGTGTTTATGATGTCGCTGCCTTTCTTTTCAGAAGACTTCCCAGTTGAGATGTCCTCCATTTCTGATTTTGTAAGCTAAATTTTAGAAAACAGACTTACAGGTGACATGTTGTTAGCAGAGAGATGGATAGCAACCAATGTTCGCGAGTATCGCATAGCTTTAGCTAGGATAAGTCAGCATTTGTGGCTCAAGTTACAACCACTTAAATCTCAATGAACTAATGATTTTCTCTATTTAATGAGCTAGCGGTCTTACCAATATTGTACTTAGATTGGCTACCATTTTGAGATTGTTTGGACCACTGAAAGGAACTGCAGCCAAGCTTAGAAATTGTATATTCGTCACACTCCCAATTGCTTCAGTAAGATCTTGAAGATCTGACATGACGATTTCGTTCCAAGAGAGATCTAACTTCTTTAAGCTAAAAGGATTATTGTAAAATTTACTTATAATTTTCACAAATAAAAGTACATATATTCTTTATGCTTAAATTTGTCAACTTAACTGTTGTCAAGACCAGCTCTTTAATAGTTCTATTATCTGGAAGGGAAGATGTCAGAATCTCAGCATTCATTGGTCTCATAAAACAGTCGTGGAGTGAGATAGATTCTATGTGAGATTTCTTTCTTTTTCCAAGATCTTCGTCAAACTCATTTAGCAAAATTTTAAGAGATTTCGCACTTTCTTCTTCAAGTTTATTATTCTCTATCTTAATAGTGGTTACATATGGATTTGTTCATACTCCCTTTATTATACCTAGAAGGATAACTAAAAAGCTTACTAGCTAGTGAAGCATCGTTCATATCATTGCTCTTAAGGGCAAGCACTTCTAGGTACTCTGCAAGCTCTTCTATTGCAGCTTCTAGTGCTTTTGCAAGGCCCTCGTTCATCCTATAGTTCTCTAGTATAAGCTTTTTATCCTTCAGCTTGTTGATAACAGGAACTGCTAAGACATTTTCCTCTTTACATTTTTGTATAAACTTCATTTGAGCCAGCTTATTCTTAACATTCCCCTTCGTGTACTTAGATTTCTTCTGATTTTCAGGATGCTTTTTGTCGAGTATTTTAGCTATAGAAGGATCAGAAGTAACTTACTAAAAACTCCTCTCTTAAGGACATTATTTTACCACCTGGAAGAATTCCTTCTTACCGTATACTTCATTGGTAAGCTCTTTTTCTAAAATCTTGACATCATTTTTATCATCTTGGCTATTTGTACTAATCTCTTTCTTAAGCTCAGGCTTAAAATTTTCTTGAGTCAGGAAGAACTGACTTGATCTATTCTTAGTCGTATCACTATCTCTATTAGAACTAGTATTGCTCTTCTTAACGATTTTATTGAAGATATTTTTCTTGAGTGAGATTCTCTGAGAAGCCTTAAATTCTTCATCTTGAACACTTTCGCTGTCAGCATCAAGATTGTTCTCGGTGATGTTGTCAAGCTGGTTAATTCTTTGTTCCACTTCTTGGCGTTCCTGAGACCAACTTTGCTTAATTTCGTTTATGATTATGGAATTTTTATATTTTAGTCGCTCCATTTGTTCTTTCATCTGCTGGAGCTTGATCTGACGCTCCTTATCAAGTTTCTCTTTCTCTAACAAATTAGCAGTAGCCCTACCTTTCTTTAACCGTTTGAGTTCCTTATTTTCGTTGAAGTTTCTTTCGGCGCATGTCCATAGCTAGAGAAGATTGCATCAAATATATTTTTGGGAAGAAGGTCTCATAGAGTATTTTCTCAAAAAATAAATTTCTTAATATGCAGAATAATGACCTTATGTTCTTACCGGCTTTTCCATATAGGACTGGCTGAGGTTTGGCAGCTATAATTTTAATATTTAAATTTACTATTTTCATGCTGACTACTCTTATTGTCCTTAAAACTTGGAGACTTTTGGTTAGAATTCCGAGTAAATGATCCATCAACAGATAACTGCGAAGTCACTTTTCTTGAGAATTTAGACTTTGTGTATAAATTTGGCTCTTGTGAGTTCAGTCTATTCACCACTAAAGTTTTAAGATTTAGCACTTACGTTCTGGGTTAAATGACTTCCTCCTCATGAAGAATAAGTCATCATCGTTGTTAGTATTAAAACCTAGAGGTTTTGAGTTAAGTCCTGGTTTTCTTTATTAAAAAAATTGATAAGGATAATTAAGATTTTTAGACTTTAGGCCTTACTCATATTCCTATCCACAAATGATGTTTGATTTGCCTCTGACTCTTCTTCTAGAGAGAAAGTTAGTCCACTCAGATTATCTGAATCGATACAAAAATTTTATATGAAGAGTAAGCAGTTTTAAGGAATCAACGTTTAGCTGGGCTAATCTTATTCTAGAAAGCTTTGAAGAGAACTCTTAGGAATTCAGCAAGGAGTAAATAATTCTTACCGATACAAGCTGTAACATTGATGACATTCTGCTCAGGTGCCTATAACATTCTGATCTCAACTATACCATTCGCTTCACGAAGCTATTCTTTCTATCAAGTTTGCTTTTCTTTTTATTTATCATTATTTCTGTGCGAATTCTTTGAACTCGTCGATCTCTTTCGAGAGGCAATTTGATATAGCTCGAGCTTTAGCGTCACATCTCATTTTGACCAGTTCAAACTTCCTTGACATCGGCATGCTGTCATTCAGTATCTCTGGGTACATATTCTGTGAGATATCATCAATTACTTTGAGGAACTTCTCTTGTCTTCCTTTGATGGAGTTATCAGCCTTGTTCTTCTTCAAAGGACCCTGCTCTATTAGGAGCCTCTTCTTAGTAGCCTCTTCGTCCTTGGTTGGATCATATGTAGTGTAGATAGGTTTCTAGACATATGTTCTGATACTTACCACCTTACGGACTTTTCTAGATTCCTTCATTTTCTTGCTCTTCAGCTGGGATATCAAGCTTTCAATGTCAGGAAGGTCATTTCCAACAACATTTGGCATTATGAGGATCTATTTTTGTCAAGAGATTTTACCTTTGAGTTATCTTCAGGTAACATTTCAGACTCATCTGTCTCTTCAGCTGAGCAATTTTGGTCATTTCCTGGTGGCTTATTTTTTATATTTGGCCTCAACTTTGGAAGACTTCTTGGAAACTTTCTTATTTTAATTTTGGTAGGTTTTAAGCTCTTCGCATAATTTACAATTTCTGTCATCAGCTTATCACTATATTATCTGAGAATCATTCTAAAAAGAAGAAACTTCTTTGTTGGATGATAAAGAAGTCAAGGAATATACCTGTTCCTTTGGACTGATCTCGACCGTTTGTCTTCGACCATTCCGATTCTCCTCATCTTCGCTCGGAGCATGGAATCAAATTCATTGGTAAGATTCTACAAGATTAGGCAAATGTACTTTATCAAAATGCGAATAAAGCTGTTTCTTTACAGAGAATGACCTCACAGGTTGTGCTCCATTAAGGCTAACCTTCGAAGGGGTAATCTCAAAAGAGTCAGCATAAGGTGTAGTAAAGCTCTTCTCAGCTGTATCATTCCTGCTATGGACCTGTACTATAGCGTTAAGCGTACCTTCTTAGTGAACAAGTGGCTTGGCATGAATTTTAAACTGAAGTCAGAGGCTTTATCAAGGGTTTTCCAACTACTGTTCTTCCAATAATTCACGTTCCGAAGCATTGAGGATGATCTTTCTATTTGAAGTGATGTCAAAGAAAGTTTAAAGTAAGGAGTAATTGAGATTAATTTTTTAAGGAAATCTTACCTCCTGGAGGAGACTGCTGATAGGAATAAGCTTCCATCTTGAATTTTATGCCTGATTTTATATATTAATTCAATTTTATTTAAATTGAAAGGGGTTTTGGGGTTTTGGGGTTTTGGGGTTTTGGGG